ACACCATCTACTGCCAAAAGGCAAAGGCATGGGGCTGCTGCAATGCAGCCCTACGGCTGCCAGCCCCACAGCTGCCAGCACCCAGATCGCCGATGAAGGCTACCAGTCATGCTGCACCGTCTACCACCAAAAGGCAGTTAGCTGCTGCTGCTGTGTAGCAATGCAGTCCCACGTCTGCCGGCACCCAGAGGACATATGGTGACGGTGAGCTGAGCAGGCTCCATGCTTGCTGTGGTATGTTGTCTGCACAGGTAACCCAGGTAAAAAGGCGCAAATCTATTGTCTGCCGTTGCTCTGACGGAGGGGGAGGGGCCTGACGACATGTACCCAGAACCTCCCGCGACACTGTTTTGCATCATCCAGGCATTGGGCTCTCAACCCAGAATTCCAATGGGCGGCGGAGACTGCGGGAACTGTGGGATAGCTACCCATAGTGCAATGCTCCGGAAGTCGACACTAGCCTCGGTACTGTGGACGCGGTCCGCCGACTAGAGCACTTAGAGCATTTTATGTCTGGACATACACAATCGGCTGTATACAACCGATTTCTATAAAACCGGCTTCTATTAATTCGACCTAATTTCATAGTGTAGACATACCCTCAGTAACACTTCACAACCCCGTTAATTAAGGAGGCTGTGGAAAGCCTTCTGACTTACACTGAGCAGACTTTGCTATTATCCACTACAATTCAGTCTCTCCATAATTTTTCCCCAAAAAGCATCTTTTCCCATCAGCTCATTTTACATTACTTATTGGAAGTAATTATTTGCTCCCTGCATGAAGCATTAGGAGCAGTTTAGACATGAATATGGGAAAGCTGTAGCCACCTACAATAACTACTATATTATATACTTTGCATTACCAGTTCTTCAAAATACCCTCTAAACATTCAAAACTGTACAAAAAGAGGATATGCTTCTATTATTAGGCTACCTTGCTTGTGTAGTTCATTCAAGACAGAAAACAGGCAGTTCTGAAGTATATATATATATATATATAATTCTTATTGGAAGTGATTAAATGTTTCCAGTGCCCTGTAAAATATACTAGTTTCCAAACCATGTTCATTTTTATCCAATGCTTTGAGCATACATCTGTACCAACAGACAGCATTGCTTTTTTGCTCCCCCCCACACACACATTTTAAGTGCTGATGAGACCACAACTACATATAGCACTTTGGTATTACAAGTTAGAAGAAGAGACGTGATACTTTCTTACTTTTGTATATGATACCCTACATAGCAACTGACACCAAGTGGATGGATGCTAATAATGTGCAACCCCGTTCTCTGGCAGCACTACCAGCGCATTGAGCAGTCTACTGCCTTGGATGAGAAGACCTACCACAAATGAAACTGAGGGGTGGGAAAGAAAATGACATGAAGTGACCCAGCTGCCCTTGAAAACACTTCATGACATCTCTAGTATCATAAGCCTAGTAGAGCTGGTACTTAAGCAGTTTTAAACCCTAAACTGCTTCCAAAGCAATAGGGGCTAAACCAGAGAGCAGCACTAGGACAGTCCACTCCAGGACTGATACTGGTATAAATATAGGGGTATAAATTCACAGCTTACCATATACCTGTATAACTTGTGGTTTAGAATAAGCTTTTAGTCTCACTGTATCTCAGTTCCCCATCTGTAAAAATGGGAATACTAGTACTTTCCCCACGGTTGTGAGGACTAATACCTTAAAGATTTGGGGATTATAGTTGAGAAGCAACACTCACATGAACTCCCACTGTGATGCTGCAGCAAAAAAAGCCAATGCGTTCCTCAGATGTAGAAACAGGGAAGCAGCGAATAGAAGCAGGGAGGTGACTTTACCTCTGTATATGGCATGCTGTTGCTGGAATACTGTAGACAGTTCTGGTGTCCACATTTTAAAAACAATGTGAAAAAGAGAGGGTGAAGAACAGAGCCGTAAAAGTGATTCACGGGACTTACAGTGAGATACAGAGAGCTCAGTCTGTTCAGCTTATCAAAAAGAAGACTGTGAAGTGCCTTGATTACAGTGTTTAAGCACCTTCAGAGGGAGAAAATACTGGGTTCAAAAGAGCTCTCTAATCTAGTGAAGAAAAGCATAAAAAACAAACAATGGCAGGAAGCTGAAGTCAGACAAACTCAAATTAGAAATAAAGCAATTTTTTTTGTAAGTGGAGGATGAGTAACCACTGGAACAAACTAAGGGAAGGGGCTCATTCAGTCTCTTGGTGTCTCCAAACTAAGACTGGATGCCTTTCTGGGAGAGATCCTTTAGCCACACACAAGCTATTGAGCTCAATATAGAGGTAACAATGAAATTTAAGGGCTTGTGGTATATAGACAATCAGACTAGATGATCCAATGATTCCTTCTGGACTTCAACTACATTCACTTGAAATCCAGGTCAGAAAATGAGTTAAAAGTAGCCTCAGAAAACACACCTGCCCGGTTGCTGCTCTGCAAAAAAAAAACCCACACAAAGACCCGCCTACTCCCACTGAGGTCAATGGAGTGGGCCTGGGCTGAACGTCAGCCAGCCCTGATGTAAGCGCATTAGTCGGACCACCCCAAGGAAAGAGCAAAAGACTCCCCGGAGCGCTAGGAGGCCGAACAAGAAAATTCTTCGGTGGCGCTTGTTAAAAGCCGCGGGCCAGGCTCTCAGGCAGGGCGTGTCCCTGTACCACTGGCCGCCGGCAGAGGCCAATCCCCGCCAAGTCAGTCACCCTCCCGAAAGGCGCAGCTCGGGCCCCCGGGGGTTCCCAGCCGGGTGCGGCCGGCACAGACCGAACCGCGTTTCAGGCGGGTCCGTCCCACTGCGAGCGCGGCCAGCGGCCTCTCGGGGCCGCTACTGGCAAGTCTCGGCACCCGGAGCGGCCTCACGGACACACGCCCAGGGACCCGCCCCACGCAGGGCAGCGCGGGGAGCTCACCTGCCTGGTCCCTGCTCCGGCCGCGGCGCCCCCGCCCCCGCCGCCGGGTCCTGGGCGCCCCAGGGGTAGGAGAGGAACCGGGGGCGGGGGCGGCAGCGACAGGCGCCGCGTGTGCGGCTCCCGACTGCAGAGACGCGACTCCACATCTCGGCAGCCCAGTCTAGAGAGCGACGGTCGGTGTGTCCGTTCCTCTAACCGCTCCCCCTCCTGGCTTGGGTCCCTTCCTCAACTGTCCGTCTGGAAACAGTAGCCACGGACACTGGTTCCGGGATCGATTCCCGTAGAGGAGGGCTGGGCTCATGTTATGCAAGCGGGAGCTAGCTGGTGCCCTCAGGCCTAGCGCGGGCACAGCGAAAGGGACACGTTTACAGGGGTGTGTATTTAAATAACACCTTTTTGTGTTGTGGGCCAGAAGCTTGCCCAGTGGGAGGAGAGGGCGGATGGTCCCGTGGCCAGAGGATTGGGCGTGAGGAGAACTGGATTCAATTCCTGGCACTACCACAGGTTTCCTGTGTGACCTTGGGCAAGTCGCTTTGTTCACAGCCAGTTGGCAAACCGACAACAAGGACACAAGGGCCAGCAATGTGCAGATGACACAGTGTTCTACCCAGTAGTGCCAACCTCACGAGATCAAAAATCATGAGGGGTTTTTTTTTGGGGGGGGGGGTGAGGAGACAGGTTAATGATTAAATTTTGTCTGTGGTTTGACATTTGAACTCTTCCTGCCCACATCCCAGCCCCACTGTGTGTGAGAGAGAGAATGAAGGAGAGACAGTTACAGCAGGCCCCAGGGCAGCACTGCTCAGATTTGGCCTGGCTGCCCCTGTTGACGTCACTAGGCCTCACCCTAGGTAACTCGGGAGGGTGGAAGGCCACTAAGTGTCAATGAAGCCTTCCTGCACTAGGCCTAAGTGAACCAAACTCTGTCCTTCCATGTTTAAACTCTAATCAACCTCAAAAGCCAGGTGCAATTAGAATATGTAAGCAGCCAGTTATCTGTATGCATCCCCCTGCTCAAGCGGTAATAAAGACCCTGCATGTTTCTG